GGGATGTAGATGGCGAACTTCTGGTCGTCGGGGAAGTACAGCAGATGCAGCAGCGAGGAGTCGAAGAAGGCCCGCTCCGAGGAGGTGACCGCCTCCTTGCTGGCCTGGAAGGCAGCGCCCAGGCGCCCCGCGGCCAGCTCCTCCATCGCCTGCTGGACAGAGGCCACGGCACGGTACACCTGCGTGGGAGCGCACCCTCAGTGCCCCGGTCTCCACTGCGCCTTGGCCCTCTCCCAGCTCCCCGGGGCCCTGGCCCAGAGCGAGCTGCCACCCGCTCCGAGGAGGTGACCGCCTCCTTGCTGGCCTGGAAGGCAGCGCCCAGGCGCCCCGCGGCCAGCTCCTCCATCGCCTGCTGGACAGAGGCCACGGCACGGTACACCTGCGTGGGAGCGCACCCTCAGTGCCCCGGTCTCCACTGCGCCTTGGCCCTCTCCCAGCTCCCCGGGGCCCTGGCCCAGAGCGAGCTGCCACCCCCCATGCTCCCAGCCCCCATGAGCCCAGGGGTACGGGGCAGGCACAGCGAGCACCTCTGCCAGGAACATGCTTGCTTTTAAAACTGAGATGCCAGCAGGGACTGGGGGCTGAGCAGGGGGTCTCCCTTCCCCACTGAAACTGCACCTAGGGATTCAGAGCGAGGGGGCAGGGGGAATAGGATGCTACAGAGGCACGCAGCCGCAGGACAGGGGCTTCTGTCACTCCAGCTGGACCCAACACCTGTGCCTGCTCCAGCCCTCTGGTTCAGAGCAGCTATTGCCAGCCCCTCCAGCACAACCTCCCCCGGGCACGTGTGCCGAAGGCACCCACGGCAGCACCAGGCTTCCCCAGGGCCCTGCTCCATCATGACGCCCACCTCAGAGGCAACGTCATCCTTAATGACAATGTTCCCGATCTTGTCCAGCAGCTCAGCCAGGGAGGTCAGGGTGGTGGACACAGTGGCCACGTTCTCCACCGTCCGGGCCCACAGCAGGCGGTCCAGCTCCCAGGCTGCCAGCCCTGCATTCCCGGGGTTTTCCAGCAGGAACTCCCCTGGGAGCGGTGCCCGGGAAATCCCGAAGAGCAGCCTGGAAGCAGAGGGGGCAGATCAGAGGAGGCCTCAGCCCTTGGCTGTGGTCACGTACCTGGCCTGGGACAGGGCACAAGCATGATACCAGCTCTTCTCTGCCTCTCCTGCATCCGGACGTGCTGGAAGAAAGGGCAGGACTGAGCCCTGGTGACCCTCCAGGTTGCAGGGAATGGCTCATCTGTGACCTGCTGGGGCCAGAAAGGGCCCGGAGCCTCCTCCCCTCAGCACCAGTGGGGCATGTCAGCCTTGCGCTGCCCAGCGCGTGCTCCCGGAAGGCCTGATCTGTGTGCCCAGCCCTGGGACGATGGGCTGGGAAGTGTCCTCACCGCAGCTGGGCCAGGAAGACCTCCATCACTCGCACCATGTCCACATCCACCCGCAGTGGGAGCGGGGCCTCATCTGCAGCCGGGTGCTTGACATTGTACACCTGCCAAGACAGCACACGGGGCAGCTCAGCACGGGCACCCTCCCAACCTAGGGCCGGCAGAGCCCTCTGCAGCCAGCACCACAGTCTTGCCTGGGAAATGGCCAGGGACTCTTTAGCCCCGTCTCATCTCAGACTGTGCCCGAGGAAGAGGCAAGGATCCATCAGCGAGCAGAACGAACCCGCAGGTGCAGGAAGCTGCACCTATGTATTGCTATGCCCAGGCAGGTGAAGCTGCTGGGATGTTCCCAGTTCTCCTGCACTGTGGCGTGGAAGGCCCCACATGCAAGCCACAGACAGGCTCATCGCCCCAAAGCCCCGACAACACGTGCAGCAAGCCAGGGAGATGCTGCCCCTGGGCAGGCCCCG